GCACGTTGATTCCACCACATTGATAGTCTAAGTAAGGTAACATTAAGTTCCCTTACCTTAATTCGTATCAGATTAAGATCAATATCACTGAGACCACCATCTGCTTCTTCTTGCAATTGTAATTTAAGAATGTCATTCTTCAGCTCCTCCTTTAGTAAAATCTGATTTTTGCATTTATTCTTCTGCCAGAAAAAAAGTGCTTTCAATGTTCTCTTGATCTTTCTGTTAAGAACTTCAACCTCATCACCGTAATCATACTTATTCCAGGCATTAGCTACAATTATCCACGTAGCTGAATAGGATTTCCAGGTATCCTCAAATCTGAAGACTTTGGATTGAGAAAGCCCAGAATCGTCAAGCTTAAAAGCAATAGGACAATGGTCAGAGGCAATCCTAGCAAGGTGCCTAACCGAAGCTGACGGGACAAGCTAAAGAGCCGAAGTATTCATCAAGCAGCGATCTAAAAATTACCAAATTCTAGTGTTTCCTTGTTTATTGTTGCACTAAGTATATTTAGGACCAAATACTCCTAAATCATGAAGATCTTGGTTAGCCATAAATAACCTCATCTCCTTAGATCTTTTGGTCAAATGAAACCACTTGCCACATCTCTTATCATCTTTGGAAAGAAGACAACTAAAGTCTCCTCCCACGATTGAAGGAACATCATCCTTCACAAGATTTTCAAGGCGGCTCCAAAGCTCTCTCCTGATTCGAAGTTCCTTATGGCCATAGACCATGGCCACATTCCAAAGACATTTATTGGGAGTGATCAATCACAGTGAAGGTTGCCAAATTGCAGTTCCACATTACCAAAATTCCTCCGGCAGTGCCTGCCGCAGGCTGATGAAAGTAATCCCAATTGCTGCCAATAATTTTATTGACATCAATATTATTGATAGAGGCCAACTTAGTCTCAGCAAGGCCCACAAAAAAAAAAAAAAATAGAGTTATCTTTAACTACTTCCTTGAGGTAGAGGGAGGCCTCCTTCTTCTTGACCCCACTACAATTCCAAAAAACTAACGAAGACATTAACTAATTGAAGGGGAGAATTCCCCGCCTTTTTTTTTTGTCCTTTACCTTCAACTTTCCTTTTTCTGGACAACGGTTCAATTGGACCCAAAAATTATTATTAAGGCTTTGATTTAAGCTTGATAGAACTTAAATCAGTTGTACCTACCAATGGTAAATCATTAGGAAAATCTGATATAATAAGATGATTACCACCAGAACAATCTTGTTTGTCACCAACACAAGCAGTAGAATCATTGTGAATGGCATCAGTAGAGATTTCAATTGATTTTACATTAACCAGTGAAGGATCAGTAGGATCGGAAGTGTTAGAGTCAGTAACTAAAATTTTGGGAGGAACATAAGAACATACATTGGCAGTTGGACACTTCTCAGTAGTTGTTTCCTCAGGTATAGTAGCACTAACCTTAGGGGAGGCGATAAGCATCACAGATCCAGTGGTGATTCCAAGTGAAATACCATCTTTCAACTGATTAGAGGCATTATCAAGAATTTTAAAGCTATTGGACAAGATAATTTCTACATCTCGAATAACCTTCATATGTTGAATGTTGTTTAAAGATTTATCCTCAACCAAAGTAACATCATTCGATTTCTGAGTAGAACTATCAGGAATGTTACCACTAACTATAAAATGAGTTTCTGGCTCTTTGATTTCCTTCTTCCAGGAATCCAATTGACTCCTAGTTTGCTTTGGCCTCTTTTTGAATTTTACATGCATCCAAGGCCCATAATTATCATGGTGTTCTGGAGCATCATGAATATCTCTGTCATTCAATTCACGACTGGGATCATTAGGCTTGGCCTTCCGTAGTTCTGGATAAGCCGGTTTCAGGTGCCCGATTTTAGCATAGTTAAAGCAGAATGAAGATAATTTCTCATATTCTACTTTCTGGAAGAATCTACCTCCCAAACCCTCAACCCAGACACCCGAAGGAAGCTTGCATTCCAGATTAATGCGAACACAGATACGCACAAATTCCTTCCTGCTCCAGCTAAACGAATTACCATCGAAGTGCATGGGTGTTCCAATTCTTGATGCAATCATAACAATGTTGATCTCGTCCCAACAATGCAAGGGCAGTTGTGGGAAATGAATCCAAACTGGTGCAGTTAAACCTTTTAAAAATGAAGGAGAAAAGGAAGGCGACCATTTGTCCAATCTGACAATATGACCACCAATGTACCATGGCCCTCCACTAAGGAATTCCTCCATAGTTGCGGAAGACTTAAACGAGTAAATAATCCAATTCAGTCCCAAAGAGTTTAGGTGAAAATTACCAATTCTATTTCATTTCTTGCATAACTTAGTGCTGCAAATAGAAAAAGGGATACTCTTTCCCAAGACCTTCAGCACAACAAAGTTGGAGAGGATTTGAGAGTTATTGATTTCTTGATCGGTGTTCAGCTTAACTGCCACTCCGTTAGAGGACATAACGGTGGAATTCACATCTAAATTAATTTTGATATGATGAGGTTTTTTCAAGACATTGAGAAAGGAACCCTTCGGGTTGCTAAACACATCAACTATTTTGGCACCAGATAAAACACTATTATTAGGATCAACAGAAGAGCAAGCAGGATTGTTATATTCATCGGTGTTGCCAAACTTCTTACTATCTGTAGCCAACGAATGTGAAGAATCAAGAACATCGTGTTCCAAAGAACCAAAGGTTAACCCAAGCGAAACAGGGCCAAAACAAGGGGAACTTTGATCCAAACTACCAAAGACAGAGGCCAAAGAATCAATCAAATCCTTACCCTTTCTTTCAGAAGTAGGAATAGGTTTAATCTAATGAGCGAGAGAATCAGAGCCTTCTCTTATAGTCAAAGGTTTTAAACCCAATCTTGAAGTTGAATGATCTTCTTTACGGGGAATGAAAGAATGCACGAAAGAAGGAGAGCGCGATCGATCAGAAGAAATATGATGATCCGTTAGAGGTTTTTAATCTGTTGATCCGCTAGAGGTTGGAGATCTGGTGGATCCGACGGCAGACTGCTGGATGCCGCCATGCTGGAGGCAAGAAACCTACGAAAAAACAAAGATTCAAACTTTATCTCTCTAGAATCCGACGCGGGAGCTTCTCTCCCTAGAATCCGCTCAGTGGAATGGATGTAATACATAACTATCTAGAATTAGTAAAAATGAAGAAGGCTATACTTCTAGTTTTAAAAAATACTAAAAGTTAGACTAACTAATCATTCTAGTTACAACTTAATTTGAAATTATAAGTTATAATTTTAATCATTAACTTTTAATTATTGAAGTGAATAATTAAGTTTTAATGATTAGATATGATGGCAATTAAAATTATACTATGACTACTTCAGCATGCCTTGTATTAATTCTCCGAACTTATCCTTTTTCATTTATGTATATGATTGTATTTCCAATCATAAGCATTCACTGATACTAATTTTTGAATGTACTCATCTTTTTCTTTCTATTTTCTTTTGAGAATTATTTTATAATTCTTTTTCTTTTTCTTTTATGGAGTTCATAATTAATAATTTTGAATATTAGCTTCTATTTTAGACCTTCATATAATCTTAATGATTTTATTGTAAGGACTTGATGAGATTACTAATTCCATCTTCAAGTTAGCAATGATTTCCATTTTTAATTTACTCATATCTAATTTTTAATACTAATTACTCATCTTTTAATTTCAAAAGTTAATTTCATAAAGGTATAGCTTATAAATTCAAATTAGGATAATTACTTAAATGAATAAATGAGTTAAGTATAAGTTTTTCCAACCTATGAAGTATAAATAAAGTTCATTCAAACTAGGATCTAGGGTTTTATTGTTACCCTAATTATATTTTATTTTTATCTATTATTTTTATAAGGGTTAAATAAAAAAATCAAAATATAAAAGTAATTGGAGGGTAATAATAATTTAAACATGAAGGGAATTTGTTAATATGTAAATAAACACATAAAAAAACACTACAAAAATATGCTTTTATAAGAATTATGAAAGGCGCATAAAATATATGTTGGACACAAATATGACCTAACATTCATAACATAATGAGTACCAGCATAACACATACATGGGCTACCTCCTAGAAGAGCTAAGTTTAGAGTCTTCAGCCATACTGGATAATTGACTAGACCTAAGGTTAGTTTGCCTCCCAAGCAGCGTTAAGTTTATAGTCTTTATCCATACTTGATTTTTGGCTAAGGCGAATGTTTGCTACTCTTTAATTGGGTCCCATTAGTATCTCTTTCCTTTTTCATAGGATTAACTTCAGTGTTACTAAGTAAAGATCTTTTGGGCTTGTTACTCATAGAAATTGTAAGTTGACTTAATTAAGTTTATATATTTTTAATTGAAGAACCTTGGTTTTATAATTGAGTTCCCAATGACAAGACCACATCTTCTAGTAGTGTGATTCTGGTTCCATACTAATTACCTTGATTAAATCCAGGAGTATAAGCTAGTTTGGGATTGTTATTATCTTAATTTTAATTATTTGAATTTGCTCCTTAATTATTTTGACGAGCATTCTATTGATTTCTAACATTATTATTTGACAAACTAAAATTGGGATGATTTCTCTAACCTAGATTATATGTTTTTGAATAGAGATTATTTTGTCTTCCAATCAAATTTATATTTTTAATCCCTTGTATATCATTCTAATCCATTGAGATTCTATCTTCCAAATGCAAAGATGAATCTAAATTTAAGCCTAAAGTGCTCAATCTCTTTGATATTAATGCAACTTGTGCAGTCAAAATGAATAAAGAATGATTTTCATAGACTCCTACCACTCTCTTAGGATTCAACCTATCAATAAGGCACTAAAAATTATTATTTTTTATCATTTCTTCAATTAATTCATAAGCATCCTCAAAAGGTTTTGACATAAGAAAATCTCTAACTACAATATCAATTATGGATATAATGAATCCTACCAATCCTTATAAAAATTTTAAATTATCAACTGATCAAGTATGGTATGGTGAAGACACTTTCTAAGCATCTCCTTAAATCTCTCCCAACTCTCATAAATAGATTCTCCCTCTAACTGAGTAAAAGAAGTAATATTATTTCAAAGTTTGGAACTCTTAAAAGGCAAGAAATACTTACCTAAAAATTTGTGGGCCAACTCATTCCATGTATTAATAGAGCTTGGCGGTAAATAATTTAACCAGAGTTTGTCCTTGTCTCTTAAAAAAATGGAAACAATCTAAGTCTAATAACATCATCACTAATAATATTATACTTAAATATTACACAAATATTTAATAAATTTGTTAAATATATGTTAGGATCATCAATTGGAGTTCTCCCAAATTGAGAACTCTGCACAATCTAAATGATTGAACATTTTAATCCAAAACTATTAGCTAGCAAGGAAGGTCTATTTATGCTTTAATGAATTCCAACTACCATAGGGTTTGTAAAATCTTTAAGAGTTCTAGAATAATTTATGTCTTTATTAGGGTTCAGCCATTTCAAAATCAATTTGTTGGTTCTAATTTTAGAAAGGGTTCTCTCGATTTTTTTATATATTTCCCTTCTATGGCTTCTAAGCATGCAACCAGAATTATGCAATCAGTAAAATAAATTAAAAGAATAAAAGAATATATTAGGACTTATTATGATATTGATTCAAAAATATAGTAAAATATAAATAAAATAAATCTTTTGTGGTAAAGGCGCCAAAAATTTGATGGGGGCAGTAGAGTCACCTAAGGAATTATGAAAATGATTAAGGATTCTATCAATCCTAAATAATGCATAGGTTTCTCTGCTATAATAATTATAAAAAAATTCACTTAATATATACAAGTATGCATCCCAGATCAAGTAATATAGTGATGGAGTAGAATATCGATCCCACGAGGAATAATATTTACTTGCAAATACTAGTATTGTCTACTACAATAACATTAATTATTCTACTCAATAAAAATAAGTTTTGGTGGAGATTCACTTAGTTAAAATTCAATAATAATTTTAAATGAAACACTATTTGGATAAAATGTTTGGGAATGATGGAATATAAATATAATATGTTTCCTAATGATTCTCTTTTAAATTGATATTTTTCAGAGCATATGCATTATTGATTGCTTATTCAAGCATAAAGATAAAGGACATATAAACCATTCCAACCTCAATACCACTCTAAACTCCCATAGTGTGTCACCCTATGAAATCTTAGAAGAGTAAGTTAATCATGAACTGTTAAAACCCCTTCATTACAATTTATCTCTATAAATTTCGTATAGGTCAAGCACTGTGCCTATGCTTGCATATACAAATCAAATATACCTTATTATGCCTGCTTTTTTATTCATAGACTCCACATTACACATGATACTAACTATACATATGATCACTATGTGCATTAAATGAAGACCTGATATATTAAAAACATAATTAAATTATTGCTGCAGAGAATTCATTAGTCATCCATATTCTATTTACACCATCAATCCAAAACTAAAGAATTTATCCATACAAGAAAAACAAGTGAAACAAACTCACTTTCAGTAATAACACAAAAGAAAGAGAGTATAGAAGAAAAGTTATCACCAGATGGGTTCAATGATCTCCCCGATGCACTTTGAACTTATAAAAGTTTTTCAATAAACATTGACCAAACTCTCTTTTGAAGTGGATATTGTGCTCCCTGAATTCCCTTAGTTGTCACTCCTAAGAAAATTACAAAGAAGCACTTTGAAGAATGAAATGAACTAAGTGAATAAAAGCTTCTACTAATATTAAAAATGGACTATTTATAGAAATAATATAGAAATGAATTTTGGCACCGTGGCCCTCGAGACACTTGCACCGTGACACCCATAAAATGAAGTAATGCCACAGCGCCAAATGACATTCTCCACTATGGTGCTTGCTGACATGGACCAACTTTTTAGCACTACGAAAAAATCGTGTGTTAATGGCGGACAAAATTCATTGAAAAATGCACAAAATCTGTCAGAAATTAGTATTTCTGGTGGATTTCCATCATATTTTTTTCATCGGTAACACACGCATCGAAAAAATATAACTGGCGCAAAATAGGCCGCCGGAAAAATTTCTGACGGACTTC